CGCGAAAAGTACGCGATGTCGTCGACGACATACTCGACCCCAAAGAGTTAAAAGCATATAACTAAGATCGGTGGATCTCATGGGAATATGGTCGATTTCTGATCCCCCCAAATTAACGTGATCGAGGCCGATCGATCGGTGCGCCGATCGATCGGTGTACCCCTAATACAGATTAATACAATAAAATAAAAGTACAGTATGTAAATGTAACATGTAAAGTCTTTATCATTTTAGCTTCAGTTATAAGTAACTACTTTCATAAGATGCACACTAAATCACACATGTAAGTGCACATTTGCCTTTTTTGCTTTGAGGTGACATATTTTCCAAATATTTTTATTGTGTTTTAGTGATGGAAATGAAGATAAACTCTGAGGTTTTGACTGAAAAGAATACAATATTTTTTCCAAAGAAAAGGTGAAGCCAGTGTTCTCCAAACTTCCCCCTTTGTTTGAGGAGAAAGACTTAATTTTATTAACTAATTCTGTAACCTTTGAATTGTGGTTAGACATGTGCATTTACGTGATCCTAAAAATGTTCAAATAGAACAAAGGGAGAGACAAATGCCTACGTGCATTTTCCTTGGCTTTTGAAGAGCGATACAGAATTTTGCAACTGGGAGAGCTCTGATTTAATTACAGTCAAACGATAACACAGGAACGAGGTAATTACAGGAGTCCTTGGAATGCACTACAGATAAGGTTACTTCCTCCTCGATGCAGCAGAACACAATGAAGCTGGTGTTCTGTAATGTAAGATGTGGTTCAACTCATTTTCTTTTATTAGGACAGAGAGATCCGCTGAGTGTCCTAACAGGGGCCTGTATCATGAAGCAGAATTTCTTACTTAGCTGGATAACTTGTTGGATTTAAGGTAGTCTGGGCTAAATGTAAGTGAACGAATATAAAGTCCATTTAAACTGGGGTACCTTAAATCCAACAAGTTATCCAGCTAAGCAAGAAATCCTGGTGCGATACATGTCCCTGATACATTGGCACTCCAATGTTACCAAAATCTGAGTAAGAATACCATGAATATGACCGTTAAGCTGTTTCTTTAAAGAGTGCTCACTAGACACTATCTAGTACTGTATCTGCACACCTTCCACAAAAATTCTCCAAGTAATTAAGATAAGAGTCTTCTCATCTTTTCTTTAAGGTTGTGATAAAGGGACATGCTCCAAATTTAAAGGGGGTTGCTAACAAAACATGTTAAATAATAATTTTTAAAAATCACAAAACAATATGTAAGCACAATACCCTTTTGTGCAAATTTGATTTGATTAAATATGTACCTGGAACATAAACTTAGAATCACAGACAGATCTACAGTTTGCGCTATTCTTAGGTGCATTTTTGTCAGACTGGCTTCCAGGCAATACCATAAAAACATTTCATTTATTAAGAGACTGCAAAGCAGCACTTGTTCCCATTCAATAGTCCAGGAGGCCATCTGTTTAGTTTCGTATACTCAATGCTCTCTGTGTCTCACATGTTGCCATGGAGCTCTCTTTCGTGCTTCTTCGAATTCGGGAACGGACCAATCATCAGATGGTGCATGTACCACATACAGCTGTGATTAGGGGGGGATAATTTAAGATTTTGAACAATACTTGCAATATATACTCCGTTCATGAGGAAACACTACAACATTTTTTTTTCTTGAAACACCTCAGTTTTAAAGATAAACATGTTAAAAATGTGTTGGCTTCTTTAAACCAAAATTACGAGGCATAATATTGGTATACTCCGCGTAGAGATTCAATTTTCTTGCCGCAACTCTTACCGGTAAACACCAGGTTATTAAGATTCATGAGTTATTCAAATTAATAAAGTAGTTGTACGAGTACAACAATACTCTGTGCGTTTAAAAGGTGAGTTTAGTAAAATCAATGGAACAAATATAATGATTTGATGGCTTGATGGTGATGGTTCCTACCTGGCTAGCTTACTTAATATTTTATATTTAATACTTTTATAACAGGTTTATAATTGGCAATGTATATACGTTAATATGTAAAATTTTGTATCTGTTGCAACTTTTACATAAACTATTTTAGCTCTAAAGCCATTTGAAACCGGATCGCACTATTTCTGCACAAAGACTTAATGAAATTAAAATTGAATTCAATGCGTCTGACATCAACTGAACAATATATCCAACCAGTACAGCTCTGTAGTCATGCGTAGAAGTCTTTTTACCTTTCAAGACGGGTGTCAAGTAAAACTTAGTTACTATTTTATTTTTTCATGAATGAATGAATCAATCAGTACGTGGTACTCTAACCCCTGTTTTACACTGTCTGCGTGTCCGCGGCGGTGCGTTTCTGACACGGCAGCCGCAGGTAATCGCCGCCAATAAAGTCAATGCATCAGTTTACACCATATCCGCTGCGTTGCGTCTCCGCTATGTCTCTGTTCCGTCACATGTCCGGCAGTCCGCCGAGATGCGCATCAAATCTATTTTCGACGGATCCGGATCAAGAACGTAACACAGAGCGCATGCGCCAACTCCCCTTCACATCATGGGCGACGAAAAGTTAATTTTGGAGGTGGAGAAACATGCAATTGTGTACGACCACAGACATCCCTTTTACAAGCATAATAGTAGAAAGGAGAAACCGTGGAGTGAAACTGCAGAAGTTTTGGGATTTGACGGTAAGTTGAATCTTCCAATTAACTATGTAAATACTTGTTTTTAATTAAAGTAACCTGTACTGTGAAGTACTTGTAAACTAATAAAGTGTTCAGTAACCTACATGGGAGTGACACATAATTTTATCCATAGAAACATAGATAAATGTTATGTTAAATGTTATTCTCCCGTGATCATGTGATCTCGCAAACCAGCGGCGCGCCGGATCAGATACGGACCACAAACGCATCCAGTGAGAATTGGCGGACGGCCTCGGAAGGAATGGGAATGCAGCGCAGTCGCACCGCAGCGGATACGCATCCATTGTAGAACAGGGGTAAGCTTTAACGTTGTCTGTCATTTTGTAAAAACTGTGCATTTGGCAAAGGCTTTGTAAGACACATTAATAGCATTTCCCCAAAGTGAATATATTGACCTTTGGGTTGTTCATGTAAGTGTGTGTATATGTATGCGTATAATATGCGTGCATGTAATGTATCTCTGTATAACTGGCTGACATTGAGTCAAACTTGGTTCCCATAATCCAACACAATGTTCTTATTTCAGCCTGGTTATAGATAATTGGTCTTTCCATAATGTATTTACAATTTTTTCTTTGAGGAATGGATGGCCTTCTGCTTTGGGAAAGAGTAATAGGAGAGATATCAGCAATGAAGCGAGTGGTCTTTTTGAAGCTTCCTGCATCACTTCAGCATGTATTTTTATCCGTGTTGCCAAATGTGCCAATGCATGGGAAGCTGAAATATTGGCTTAATATGAATGAATATCAGAAGGATGTTGTGGAGGGAAAAAAAAGAAAATATCAACAAAGAAGGTCAATCTTTGTTTTTAAAAATCTATTCTAAGGGTTGTCCAGCCTACATAGAGCTTTTGATTGTTTTCTGTTTTAATGGGTCAAATTTCCAGTCACTGTAGCACTGAATGTGTTTTGGAAGTGTTGTTAGGCCACTTATCAGAAATAGAAGGCTTCCAGCTACACATGATTAATGCTATTTTGTACAAGACGCATCCTGTTTTTTTTCTACTAATGGATGACTGGGAAATCTGCTCTTGGAAGGAGGAAAAGGGTGTTTGAATGTGTCTTAATCAAAATGTTGATGGTTATTTTATAACTTTATAACTGTGGTTATTTATTTTAAATAAATAATTATGTTTAATTGCCTTAACATAGGGCTGTCACGATCATTAAATTCTAGTTGACGATAAATTGACATACAAATGATTACAATTAACGATTGAATAGTCTTTTTCTGTCCATTTTATAAAACTATCACCCTAGGGTTAAACTGGAGTACTTTACATCTGACAAGTTATCTGGCTAAGCAAGAAATCTGGCTTTGTGAAACATGATACAGATCCTGGTGTTAATGTTTCCGCTGACTAAAAAAACAATCCATTTTCTTTGGATATTTCTTTGGGTATTCTTACAGCGAATGCATACTTGAGTACCAGTTATGTGCACCTGTTTATATCAATCCAGCAGTGGGTTCAGAAATAAATGGACAGAATAACACACATTTATCTACTTCTTTGTCCTATAAATGAACCTGAAGCAGTGAAAAGAAATACTAATGGGATCAGGCTGGATCATGAAAGTGTTGTGAAATGAAGTGGTACAAAACGAGCACCATTTTAAAATTTGCCATGAAGTTATGCTGCGCATGCGCAAACATGTGAAGTACAAATAGAGCGGGTGGTATGCATCTGATCAGAAGCGCAACGAGATGATGTCATTAAATGAGCGCCAGTCAAACATTACATGGTAGAAAACCATGTGGAAATAGAAAGGACTGATTCTGTCATTGATTGTAGTGGCAGACCTCCTCTGGATATGTACAAAGTTAAAGGTTTTTAATGTGTTTGTTTCGCCTTCATTTGTCATTCTTCATTACTCATATTCAAATGAAGATAAAGCATACAAATCTGTGTCCTTTTTTCCTAATTGCATACCATGCATCACTGCTGTCACTGAGCACTATAATATTTCCTTCTACCTGCTGTATACTAGTGTGTGAATAGTTTACTAAATAAATCTAGGCAGACCTGCTTTTGGGGTTAGGAATAGGGCTGTCTGATGCTCTCTGTCTGTGGTGCGCGTACCTTTCAGTTGGTTGTGATAACTTTCTGGTGCAGGTGTTCATGCCCCTGGTCTGTAGACACAAAGGAAGGTACGGGAGTGGAGGAGTCACTCCCAGCCTGACAGCAAGCCAGCAGATGGGCTCAGGTTTAGGCTCAGCAGGCTAGGACTGTTTAGAGGGTGTAGAGTTCCCTCTCAGCGCTTTCATTTTCAGCAATGGACACAGTATCGCTGTTTAGGTTTATAGACTTCCCTCACATGTTCTCAAGTGTGCCCTGAATTACAGTGCAGTGCGCTGGAGGTAAGCAGAACCAGTAAAGAATAACTTTAATATTAATGCTTATGGAAGGAATAGCCTTTTAAAGGGGTGAATACAGTCCTGTTGTTGCAATATTTATGATCTGGAAAAATACAAAGGTCAAACTAGGTATTTGCACATACTAGGCTTTCAAGGGGGAAAACATTTTATCATTACAATACTCTTACAGTAACTTTCTAAACAGTTTTTTTTTTCTTTTGTTTAAATTAACTCAGTATTAAGTAATTAAAAGCTTTTTCTTTCTTTAGGGCATACTAAAATTGAGGAATATGAAAGGACAGGTTACAGACAAGATTTGCAGGCATTTCTGAGGTCCTGAGTGGCTACATTCCCGGTTTTTGGTCTAGTATGGTGCCAGGAGATTGACTAGATATAGTGTCTATAGAGTATCCTGAGGAAGCGGTGTTGGTTAATTTGCATCAGTTTCAGTGTTTAGTTAGTATCCACTGCATTTATCTTAAAGAGACAGCCGAATGTAGACCAGCAGCTGGCAGAATACCCCAGATCTGTCAGTCTGCCTTTGTTTTCAACAGCCAGACTTCATTTGCTGTCAGCAGATTCTTGCAATTGAGGTATGGTGGTATAGGGGTACGGGGTTAGAAATAGAGGTACATCTGAGTTCTATTGTCTCAATATCAGAGAGCTCAACGCTTACATGGTAAATAAAAAAAATAACAGTTGGTCTCTATCTTATCTGTTCCTCTGCAAATGGTCCATCTGGAAGGCGATTCTTGTGATTCTTTAGCCTTGTTTCCCTTCTGAATCTTTGACATTCTGGACCCTTTCATATAACGATGAAGGACATTGCAGCTAATTCATTATGCAGTGGCCCAGAGATGACTTGGTTTTGACCAAGCGTGGTGGACTGAAGGTGCAGGAAACAGATGAGCTTCACTTTGCTTTTATAGCGGCTCTCAGTCCCTCAAGATCCACATGAGTGGTGCAACATGACATGTGGATGAATAAAATACAGTGACAATAGAAGACTGTCAGGTGTGTGCACTATAATAGAGGACAAATCAGAACTTGCTTGGAAATGCTTTTCTGACACATGTTGGAACCAGCCGCTCTGGGAAATTAAGTTCTTAATTAAGGATATAACAGGATATATGACTTTTGTCCCTGGTGTTATGCCTATATTCTTCAAGGAACATGATCAAAAACAGCAGTAAATATCTTGCTGTATTTGGGGATGTGAGTGTTTATCAGTCAAGATGTCTTTAATTCTTCATTGTTTGTGTCCATCAGGTGCCTGCATTCAGTGGTTATTTGAGACGTTGAGCCATCTACTGGAACATTCTGGAGGGTTTCCCACAGTAACACATTGTTATAACTACTAAGTCTTCTGGGATGGTTGCGGTGATTTGTTGTTCTGAGTGGTAATATCCCCTCTCCCTGGCCTAGCGATTCATGTGTCAGAGTAGGAGAAAGACGATGGCTTCACCTTCTGCTAGGATCAAAATTACCTGCTTGCATTCTTTTTTCTCTAGTAAGTAAATTAAAAAGTGATGTGAAAACAATTTCTCTTTTTTTTGGTCAAACTTTGGTCAAAAGGCGTGTGAATGACTGTACTCACAGTAGTGTGTGTGTGTGTATGTGTGTGTGTGTGTGTGTGTGTGTGTGTGTGTGTGTGTGCGTGCGTGTGCGTGCGTGTAGTCCAGGTATACCTTACCTTGTGGGGACCAAATGTCCCCACAACATGATGAATACCTGTTTTTTTTCCATATGTTTGGTTACCTATGATTATGGTTAGGGCTAGGTAGGGGTTAAGGTTGTCATAGTTAGCATTAGCATTTTTCCTATAGAAATGAATGAGCGGTCCCCAAAAAGATGTGATTACACGACTGTGTGTGTGTGTGTGTTTTACATGGTCATCTGTATATGTCTGGGAATCCCTGTTACCTTAGTGACCCATTCATTGGAGATTAACCTTCCCTAGTGTTCTTCAGGCTGGTCACATCTCTCCGTTGGTGCTTTGACTGACTTGTTTATGTTTGGCCATAGACCATCCACCCTTACACTCACCTAAAGGATTATTAGGAACACCATACTAATACGGTGTTTGACCCCCTTTTGCCTTCAGAACTGCCTTAATTCTACGTGGCATTGATTCAACAAGGTGCTGAAAGCATTCTTTAGAAATGTTGGCCCATATTGATAGGATAGCATCTTGCAGTTGATGGAGATTTGTGGGATGCACATCCAGGGCACGAAGCTCCCGTTCCACCACATCTCAAAGATGCTCTATTGGGTTGAGATCTGGTGACAGTGGGGGCCATTGTAGTACAGTGAACTCATTGTCCTGTTCAAGAAACCAATTTGAAATGATTCGAGCTTTGTGACATGGTGCATTATCCTGCTGGAAGTAGCCATCAGAGGATGGGTACATGGTGGTCATAAAGGGATGGACATGGTCAGAAACAATGCTCAGGTAGGCCGTGGCATTTAAACGATGCCCAATTGGCACTAAGGGGCCTAAAGTGTACCAAGAAAACATCCCCCACACCATTACAGCACCACCACCAGCCGGCACAGTGGTAACAAGGCATGATGGATCCATGTTCTCATTCTGTTTACTCTACCATTTGAATGTCTCAACAGAAATCGAGACTCATCAGACCAGGCAACATTTTTCCAGTCTTCAACTGTCCAATTTTGGTGAGCTTGTGCAAATTGTAGCCTCTTTTCCTATTTGTAGTGGAGATGAGTGGTACCCAGTGGGGTCTTCTGCTGTTGTAGCCCATCCGCCTTAAGGTTGTGCGTGTTGTGGCTTCACAAATGCTTTGCTGCATACCTCGGTTGTAACGAGTGGTTATTTCAGTCAAAGTTGCTCTTCTATCAGCTTGAATCAGTCGGCCCATTCTCCTCTGACCTCTAGCATCAACAAGGCATTTTCGCCCACAGGACTGCCGCATACTGGATCTTTTTCCCTTTTCACACCATTCTTTGTAAACCCTAGAAATGGTTGTGCGTGAAAATCCCAGTATCTGAGCAGATTGTGAAATACTCAGACCGGCCCGTCTGGCACCAACAACCATGCCACGCTCAAAATTGCTTAAATCACCTTTCTTTCCCATTCTGACATTCAGTTTGGAGTTCAGGAGATTGTCTTGAGCATTGAAACAACTGCCATGTGATTGGTTGATTAGATAATTGCATTAATGAGAAATTGAACAGGTGTTCCTAATAATCCTTTAGGTGAGTGTATAACGTATCCTGTCATGCATTTTATTTGGAAAAAAAATACATGAATGTTTATTGCAAGGAAGATCTGTGTTTGGGGAGATGGGAAGGAACTTTGTACTTCATGCACAGGGCCGTTTCCACTCATCTTGCCTCCAGTTCATAGTTCCAGGTAGTCGAAAGGACCATGAATCCCACAGCTGGGAGTAAGTAGGGTCATGTGCTTGCAGGGAATGCACTGACTTCCTGGCTCTGCCACTCTTTCCTGGTGTGACGTGAGAGGCGGAGAAGTGGTATTGCAGGCTTGGTGCTGTAATATGCATTGTGCTCTCTCTCTCCCTCTCCCTCTCCCCCTCTCTCTGACTCAGTCCCTCGACACGGCATTCCTCCTGAAGCTCAGATCCTCTGCTGACAATCCCCCAAACGCCAGGTAAGTAGCAGCGCAGCCGGGATCGCAATGTGCTTCTGCGGCTCCTCAGCTCTCTTTAAGGCAAATTTCCTTAACCTTCTTAAAACAACTGCCACATTCATAAGCTGTTTGTAAGTGTCATTCTTTTACGTAAAAATGAGGTTACCCGCTGCATTACTGACGTGAGTTAAACGAACTGAGAGTAGGCGCCTGGTGCCTTGTACAGTGCAGCTATCAGTTTAGTTTGTTTCTGCTCTTGCGGCTAGTTAAGCTTCTGGAATTTTCCCCTCAGTTGGTCTTTATTTTTCTGTTTCTGTTTGGTCTATGTTTTTTTCTGTTTTATGGGCTTATTGCTCTCAATTTCTTGACATTAATATCACTCTCCACCCCATTTTGATTGGACAGAGGTCAGTAGTGCTCTGAAGTACTATTTCAGCCCACTCTGGACTGGCACCGGTCCACTTCCCGTATTCAGGTGCATCTCCTTACTGTGTGGTCAGCTGCCTCTTATTGGAGGTTACTTCGGAATTTGGTACAATCTTTTGCACAGACCACTGTCAATGGCTTGTGGAGAACCAACCAGAAAGCACATTCACTGGGTATTCTCAGATTGGACCGAGACATGGCAGTTAAAGTGGTTCTGCTATAAATGGAGCCTTAAAACCTTCTCTGACTGGTCTGTCTTAGGCAGTCTGTTCCAGGGTCCTGAGCTTCCTGAGCCAGGCAGGCTAACTGGGCTAATAGCGCATATAATTCAAAAGGGATACATGGAACCAGAAGTGTCTGTTTGTTTATCATGATGGGTGTGATATGTGATTAAACTAGGGCTGCAACAACTAATCGATTTAATCGATTAAAATCGATTATTAAAATAGTTGCCAACTAATTTAATAATCGATTAGTTGGGTCTACGTTATTATACACACAAGTACAGTGGCAACCTCCTAATTTGGGAGCAGTAAGCTAACCAAAGCCGCGGTGGCAGTAAAGTACCATTAAGCTGGATGCTGACCGCCATAAAAGAAAAAAGTAAATGCACATAAACGCCATTTACGCACCTTTTAAATTTACAAAACAGCTTTTACTCACCTTTTTTAAGATCACTAATGTTAATGATATAGTTACCCACCGTTTTTACTGCTGTGCATATAGTTTACCCACCTTAAATTTCTTGTTACCACTACACCACTGCTTCATTTCTTCACGATAGAAATTTATAGTAATATCAAATGTTGTAGTACTCAAGACCAGTTTTTGAAGGTCTCGATCTTGTCTTTGAAGCAGCCGTATTTGTACTCGTTCTTGTCAAGGACTTTTATTTCGAGACCATAACTCTGAGAATATTCTTATTAATGAGCCGTTTACTGTCGGATTGGATAACTAATAACTGCAACCAATGGCGTTACTGCCGGCCGCGTTACCCGCCCCGTCCCTTCACACACGCACATGTGTTTAAATGAACGCAGGGGAAGTCGTGGTTGTCAACACAATCAGCTATTATGGGGCTAGAAATGCGGCTACATACAGTATACCACAACGTGTTTACCCTACCATTCTATTAGGTGGGCGCCCCAAGTTAATTTTATTTAATTTCATTTTCTATATAGCTCCAGATCGCAACAGAAGTCATTTAAGGCTACCTTTCCGATAGAACAGGTTTATATCTTGTCCTTTTATTAAACAAACTAAATAGCCTTATATTATTTATCTTATTTACAGTTCATCACTGTAGTATGCTGAAACAACCGGACACGTTTTAAAACAAAATTTGCCGCCTGCCGTTCACGGGCACCAATCGTCTTATTTGCGTTGCTCAGTAATTTTTAGCGTATAAGATGCGGAAAAGGCTTTTTCTTCGCAATAAATGTTTACTTTATTTGTCCGTAATAAATGCAGACAGACTCGCTGGCGTGCTCTCTCCCCCTGTCATATATGTGTATCAACATTAAATAACATTAGACAATTATTTAATAATATTCTTAGTAGCAGCAGCGGTAGTCTGTGCTTTTACATTAAAAAACTGGAGTACTGAATACATTATCTAAAGCACCATGCTGGTTGCACTTTATAAAACAAGATTTTGTGTATTTCATTACGTTGATTCAGCTGCTACAAATTATTTATTTTTTTTGTATACTCTTAATGTAGCATACATTTGTTTTTTATGTGAGTTGCTGGAAACAACTTTTGTACAAAGACAGACTGGGTTATTAAAAATTGCTGGAAATCAAATTGTTTTTTGCCCCCCCCCCCATCCGATTAATCGACTAATCGAAAAAGTAATCGACAGATTAATCGATTATCAAAATAATCGTTAGTTGCAGCCCTAGATTAAACCACACCCCCCCCCCCCCCCCATGGCTTTCAAGAAAGGAGAGGAATATCCATGTATGTATAAACAGGTGTGTCAGTCTGGCATGTTGTATTGGATGGAGTGTCTGCTCTGGACTGGGAGGCTGCCATGTCTCCTAATGGCAGCAAGTGGGTCCATGAGGCTCGAAATGAGGAGGATTTATTAGGTCACACTCGTAGTGTAAAGGAGGCAAAGGGAAGGCAGCACAAACACACAGTTTGCCAGTTGCTCCTGGCCTCTCCCGTTACACACAGAAAGCTTTATCCTTTAGTTAGAGGTGTACATAGGGACCTCCTAATCGTGCCTTTGGTCCCCCCATTCTCATTATACTGTTGGCATTACACCTATATAGAGGCCTGACAAGGGGGTTTCTGAGGGCCAGCACCTTGGGTTACATGTGAACATCAAAAATGTCTGAAGGCACTAAACACACAGCGATGGGGGTGTGGGGGCCTACTGTAGCAACAATGTTTGCGCTTCAATGACTGTGTGATTATAAAGGGGGTGGGCTGTCCAAAAGCTCAGTGTACTTTTCTGCATGCAGGTATGTAAGGCCTCCCCTTGGGGCCCACTGGATCTGCTGACATGACAAGGGTGTAGAGCAGCCTGTTTCAGAGGGTTTCGGTTTGAATTCCACGGATGATATTTACACCCTCAGTAAGTCTCTTATCTCAGCTCTGCTAGTTAAAATAAATTTCAAATATGCTTAATTTGATGGCATGAATTTTATGATATAAAACGATTTTGCCGATTGAACTCACAAGCAGGATGCCAGCCAGCTCGGATAAAATGCCTTGCAACATGTAGGATGCACTTGCAACCTGACCATCACTGTTCCGGTCCCTTAACCAGTAATCTGCCCCCTGGCTCCATGAACCGCGCCATTGGTTGGCGTGCCAGTGGGTTGCTGTAAGAATACACCGCGGGGCCGGACGTCAGCATTGTCGTCCTGCACTGTGGTAGGTGACCACTTCAAGGTCAATCTGTCCTCACGGTATCAAAAACAAACTTCGCTTTGGCCCCGGCACCGTGTGGTGTAATTCGCGGGCTCGGCGGAGCCGTGCAGTCAAGCGGTACTGTCCTGGAGAACTTGCTAATTTACTGGCGCTCTGCAGCAGGCAGATTGGATTTTTAATTAACAAAAATATTTGTGTCCCCTTTCCATGCCAGAAATTATGGAAAGTTTGCCTTTGTTGTGTCCCACTGTTTACGCCTGGTTCCTGTTTCTCCTGATTTCTTTGGGGGGGGGGGGGTGTCACTGTTCTGTGCCTTTTTCTTCCACGTGTAGGTGCTGTGTAATCCTTAAACTGCCACTTTGCACCATCTATGCTTTTGTCCTTCTGTTGGGTTTAACTTTTATAGGCCCTGGTTGTTTTAATTTTTTTCCAGTCAATAATCGGTGCTGAGAGGTCAGTGTTTAGATAGTGTTTAGATGGGACTGGCGCAGGGACTGGGACTGGCGCAGCCCCTGCTCCGGAAAACAACCCTCCCTTAGTTCCGTTGAGAGCACACTTTGCTCCCGCTCTCCTGTTTTTCCATGTAAATAACAATACTGGAATACTAGGCAGAGGACTAGTTTGGTCAGACCTGGCCAGAAATGTATGGATTTTTTTTTTAAGATCAGCAAATTGCTTCCAGCAGGGGAATCTCTATAATTACACATATTTGGTCCCTGTTTGTATGTATGTGGTCACACAGTTTCAAAGTAAAGCTGTTGGAAATACCCTGTAACTCCAAAGTTTAGCTGGTCAAAGCAAGTAATAGTTACACACATAATGAACAACTAACAAAAGTATTCAAAAAACTATAACAGAACACACACAATTCTCTGTCTGAGAGACTCCTACTGTTGTTGACACAAACTGGGCTATGGTTTTCTACACTCACTTTTGTCTCAATGATCACTAAAGCAGAGTACCACTTCTCATCCTTTGCACCCCACTTGCTGTTGACTGCCGGAATGCCTCTCTTCACCACCTCGCCGCTCTAAATCACGAGTCGTTGGCGTGTGTTGAATTCTCACACATTTCAGTGGACGGCATCGTACACAGATGGTGGAGAGGCAGCACTTAAAGGATAATGGCCCCGTTCAGGCAGTTTGGGGGGGGAGTTAACACCTTGTCAGAGCTGTAAATGTCTTTTCAAATGTCTTGGAAAGGTACACCAGAGAATGAAAGGGTAGCATACACCAGCATAATGTCAACAGCAGAAGAACGGTGTATCCCACTGCTATCCTAATGGTCTGATTGTAAGCTTCTGTGGATGACTCTCCAAAACGTGGGGTGGGGTCTCACACATGTACACGTATGTATGTATGTTGGGGGGGGGGATCGGAGTGTCATTTTAGGGTTGATTCCTAGGGGTTACTTAATTGATTGAACAGTTTCTTTTTGCTATATTTCTGCGGTTTACTTTAGTGTGAGAGTTGTGGTCCTGTCATGGGGAGAATTGCCCAGTTGTGTTGTCATAGGCAGGTAACATAGGGTTCAGATGCCACATGCTGTATTTGAGAATACTGAGACCAATGTCATGGGTTTCTGTTCAGAGATCAGTCTCTGATTACTGTGGGGGTCCTGCCATTTTATTTATTTTTTGTCAGGGAAAAAATTATTCGTAAGTCTATAACTGATGTGTATCCATTTCAAGGCATTGTATTACTTGCTGTGACCCCCTCCACTCGTAAATCATGGGTTAAATAGGGCCATTTTCCAGGATGTGAGACTGAATTTTAAGCTGCCAGTTTTCTGCAGTCAGAAGATGAAATGTAGTTCATGTTGTTTTGCCACTTTTTTTCAGTATGAGGTGAGCCTGGGAGGGAGGGATTTGGTTTTGGGAAACAGGCAAGCTATAAAAAGATTAATTAAAATGCGAGAATCCAAGTGGCTCTGGGTCTGATGTAATGCAGAGGTTTGACAGTGTAATAGCGAGGAAGGCAGTGCAAAACTTTTACCTGCGGCTGCAAATCAAGTCGAGAGCCCAAGTCTGCAGCTACCGCAGGCTCCAGAGAAGCCCAGGAAAGGGGGGTGCTTTGAGGGGGATACTTTTTCTGGGAAGACATCAGGTCTCTTTCTGCATTTTTTTTCCTTTTTCTATACAGATGAAGAATAGAGCATTGCGGCTCTTGTGTCTGCTTATCAGCCACTGAGTGCCAAAGTTCAGTCCCTGGTCCGAGTGAAGCACCAGGCCGCATGTACAGCGCTCACGTTCACAGGTCCCTGGGGCTCTTTCAAAGAACTTTAGGGCTTGTTTATCGAAGTGACTTTTGAACCCCATCGCGTGTCCGGCTCTGCAGTGCATAAGGCATGCGCCTTTCGAAATGATACAGCGGATTCAGCAGTAAACACCTTAATCAGAATGTTTGTTTCTGTCTGTTTCTGCTGTTTCTTTTATCTGTACAGATGACAAAAATTTCAGCTAAATACATGTAATTTCTCTTCCCTCTGTTTCTGCCTTTCAAAGAATTAAATTTGAATGAAAATACAGCATGTTTGTTGTTGGTAGGGGGAGGGGTGTAACTGGTGGGAATCACCAGCCGGCGACCAATGGTGAGCCCCCCTCCCCCCCCCGGCCCTTGTCTTTTGGTTGAGAGTGTCAGGGCGCCTCACGATTGGCGGTTCACGAGCACAGCATCTGGAGCTTTTGAATGTGTGGGGGAGGAGTCTGAGGCAATATTAAAGCAGGCGTCTGTCCCCGGTCCGCAGCTCCAGTGTGCTTTGTGAATGTGGACTGCACAGCCGGCCGTGAAGATTCTGTTTGACAGTCTGGCTTTCTGTTTTGTTTTACAGTTTTCATTTTCTTTTTTCCAGGGCTTTCAGACAGCCTGCCTCCAGTTTACAGGACCGTGGATTGGTGCCTTCTTGACATCCAGACGGTGACCTACAGCACCGCGGATCTGGGTCTGGAAACTCGATGAAGGTTTTAGAAAACACCCTGACCTCCAGGGACCGCTGCCCCCCTCCCTGGCAGAGCGTTTAAAGGGAACTGCCGCCGTTAACCTTTAAGTGCCTTAGCCATTGATGTGGACTGAAGTGGAATTTGACCCTTTCTGACCCTGTCGGACAAGAAGGCTTTCAGTGAAGACAGGGAGGATTAAAGGCTGCAAAGAAAGGCAGGAGGAGAGGAGCACCAGGACTGGGGAGAGGTGAGAGAAAAGGAGGACACACAGGTGTTTCTCTGAGTCCCCTTTCTACTTTTGACCAGTAAGTCCCCCTCAAGTATGCCGGTGGAAACCTTGCGCCCCTCAGACGGACGCCTGGCTGGAGCCCCCTTCACCTCCGCCATGCCTTTCCGCATCCTCAACAAGGGGCCCGAATATTTCCGGCGGCCACTGGAGCCTGGAGCCCGCAAGTTGAGTGCAGTGGAGCGGCTGGAAGCGGACAAGGCCAAGTACGTGAAGAGCCAGCAGGTGGCCAGCACTCGGCAGGAGCCCGTCAAGCCCCCCGCCATCCGCAAGCCACTGCTATCTCCCAGTGTGCTGCTGCAGTGCCGCGCCGGCACCCCCGTCACCCGCAAGGCTCCGCGTCGCCATGGAATTTCAGCGCCATTAAACCTGGATGCCCTCAACAACCTCATTAACGTTTGCGAGCCGCCTGCATCGCACAGCGCCCTCCGCACACCTTTGTCCGAGAGCCGATCTGGCAATCCCATCCCCGCAGAGCCCAGTTCTAGTGACCGCCAGCTCAACAGCAACTCTTCCTCTACCTCCTCGTCCTCCTCCCTCACTCCTCTGTCCGCAGACCAGAACCGACGGCCTCCTGTGGTCCCGGCACGTGCGCTTCGGGCTGGCACACTCGCTCCCTGTGGGTCAGCGGGCACTGTGGCAGTGCGCCGGGTAGATGTGCGGCCACAGGCGGTGCTGAGGAAACCGCAGAGAACACCGCAGGCCCCGCCGCGCCTTGTCCCACAGCTGCAGGTGGCCCGGCCACAGGTGCCACCTCCGCCCACAGCTTCAGCCACGCTGCCCTCCCCTCTGCCTTCCAGCCCCCTGCTGCTGCATGCCACGTTGCCCCCTGCCTCCCCAGCCTTCACACGTCTGTCATCGGCCAGCTCCCGCGGCTCGCCACGTCGCCACCCCTCTCTGCACCGCTCCAAGTCAGACCTGAGCGACCGATACTCACGGGCCACGGCTGACCTTGAGCGCTTTTTCAACTACTGCGGCCTGGACCCCGAGGACGTGGACAGCATGGGGGTGGAGCGCTTTGCCCGTGCCAGCTCTGACATTGTCTCTGTGTCAAAGCTACGCAGCGTCAGCACACCCAGTTCTGAGTGTGGGGCCCTGTCCCGGCACAGCCACGAGGGCCCTGAGGAGGAGGTGACCCCGGCCAGTGAGCGCACGCCCTATGGAATCTCTGTCATCGAGCGGAATGCTCGTGTCATCAAGTGGCTCTACGGGATCCGGCAGGCGCGCGATGCCCTCAGTGTCTCCAACGTCTAGCGCGCCACTCAGAGATAGATGGCCAGCTGGGGCTGGAAGCACAGTGGACTTCTGCACCTTCTCATTTCTGTTTCTATTTATTTATTGGACAGCTTCTTGGACAGTGAGTGGGTCAGTGATGGGTACATGTCTGCGGGCAGACAGGGGTCACGGCTGCCCCCGCTCTTCTCTCGTGCTCAGCTTAAATGATTTACTGTTTCCATTAAGTCTCTTCGCTCTCACAGTATAAATCTGAGGTGGCTGGGAGGACCCTGTCTTCCGGCTGCGTGTCGGGACTGCCAAGCTGACAGACACAGAGACGGGGAGCTTACTGTTAACCCTTTGCATTAAAGTAGGCGGCTGAGGACTGTTGTGAAAATACAATAATGTGACTATAGCAAGGGCAGATTATGCCAGAAACCTGTTGTTTCAGAGTAGGGGTGTTAAAAAGCCTTCACCGAAGTGAGCATTAGTGTCTTACTGCAAGGGGTAGAGTATGGATGTTCAGGCGAGGGCAAGTCGATACTGTGAAGCCATCTGCTGCCTTCTGGTTCCTCTTCATAGGTTAGATGATGGCTGTTCAAGTGGTTTAAGCTGCAGTGTGTGCGTGTGTTTACACTTTGAGGGTGGTGTTTTTCATAAACGGTGTCTTCATACCTGTTCTCACAGACTGGCTTGATTCTCGTTGTGTTGTTTTTTTTGGTGAATGGTTTTGTCTTGGAGAGAGCCATGTTATGTTGTAAACAGAGAGCTGATGTAAGTAGGGAGGTGGACAGCAGGAGCAGCGAACCCTGTGGCAGGCGTGGAGCTTCATCTGGGGAAGGTGGGGGGGTCTGAGAATGAACTGAGTCTGAGAGGGAGGCGGAAAGTTTGACTGGAAAGAAATCGGTGACGTAACAGTTGGCACAGATGAAAAAAGCTTGACTTTACCTGATTTAACTTTCGTTAATATAATGTTAACCATGCTGGGCATTTAATTTTTTTTATTAAACTGTGTTTATTTAACTGTGTTCATGTTGTTTATGGAATCTACACCCACTGACGTGTAACACACATGCCTGTGTCAGCCAACAGCCAAGGAGAGTGCGTGCAGGTGTGCTAGGACAGAAGTGTGCTTTCTCAAATGCTACTTTTATGCCCTGACTTACTTCTCCTGGAGAAAAGCTCGTCCTGGCCTAATTGAGTCACACTGAAGTTCTCCTGATTAACTGCACTGGACCTTCAGTCTTAGTTTTCCTGCATATTTGTCTTAATGACCTGTCAATAAACGGAAATTCAGGAAGTGCTGCCTGTCTGTTATTTTATTTGGACTCACTGACATTGCATCGTCACTGAAATGTATGTTTTTAAAAAAAATGTTTTCCATTCGGTACGGCTGCTTAGATCAGTCACTCCACTAGCCTGAGCCCCCAGAACCGGTGTAACAAAACCATAAAATGTATTGTTTATATTTGTTTCGTCTGGCTGAGTTGTGTTTCGTCTGTAGATTTACATAACATATAAACACCAAAGTACTTGTTTCTGAAACAGGAGGATGATCAGATACCCATTTAGCTAACCCAGAGGTGCTCCGTAGGATAGTCGGCCTCTGTTGTGTGAATACTAGGGGTGTAAATCACAGCTTTCCTCGCGATACGATACAGTATCGATTCCTTAAACCAACGGTTTGATTTCTTTTTTGATACCTCAGAAATTCCCACGATACGATGTGATACGATACAATTCGATTCAGTTCAATACTGGGGACAGTAGTCGAAATGATGAAATTTCACACAATCCTTTACATTTCAATGGATTAAAAAAGGCAAATATAATTAGCATTTTATATTTTATTGGGAACTGTAAACAAAATCTAGTGTAGTGAAGTATGTCCCATAAATCAAGCAAAATAAAGTGCAATAAGGTAAAAAATAAAAACTTTGGATGCATGCAGCAGCTGGCGCGGTTGAACGCGTCATCAATCCTCTATTTTTTATGGCATACGATCTACCCACACTACCTTTGCGATCAACCAGTAGATCGCAATCGACGTATTGGGCACCCCTGGTGTAGACCATGTATGCGATCATGAAAACAATACTGGAACAGGCCAGAAAATAAAAACGCATGTATCAATATTTATGCGGTCACATCGATGCATCGGATTATTTGCCGTTGAATCGATATATCGGTACAAATCGATGTATTGTTACACCCCTAGTGAATACATACATCTGCAGCCCAGCACTCAAGGTCACAGCATCAAAGGACCTTTAGGGACCGCTGCACATTTCATAACCACTGCAAACAAGCCTGCACCATGCCCTCTTAGCCGTTCATGTTGCTTCCCTTGCTCCGCTAGTTAAATTTGCTGCCTTCCCAGTCTCTCTGTACTCTGATCTGCCGTAATATGTTTGATTTTGTTATTCAAGTTTGTCATGAATTTTTAACGTGGGGTATCTTTGTTCAATGCCTGTTGCTTTTTTTCCATTATAAAAGATGCAAAGCCAGGAGCCGCCCTGTGTTCCACACACACGCTTCCTAAGGAACAGGAGCTTCATTCAGGAAGGGCCAGAAGTGTGAAGGAGAAAGGAATGCAGGGCCTCTCTGCTTTTTCTCCTGGCTTCCTGGGGTGGCTGAACTCCAAACTCCTGCTGCGACTCCAATGCTCCTCAATGTATCCATTCTTTTCACTGAGAAGTCAGACAGTGGCAGCTGAAGCTGGGCCCTTAGTGATTGAAGCATAGCATTTAACTGCTGAAGCTGGAGCCTTAATTGCTTACCTGAAGTGGAGCCCCTAACTGGTGAAACTGGGCCATTGGGGGTGGGGTGTGGCTCTGCCAGCTAGGATGCCATGTCTATGGTGAGAAGGTCGCAGGTTCAAATCCTAGAGTCTGCTGAATAAAATGTAAATGAAGCTGAGCAGTTAGAGACAGTAACAGAGTCCCTAACTGTTAAGGTTGGGCCCTCAGTGGCCAAAATGATGGCCTAGTGGAACTGTATTCATGCTTTATCAGCTAAATGTTTTTTTTTCTCATTTTAGATCTCTGATTGTGGCCAAACCACAAAAATGTGAGGACAGTCAACCTTGTTGACGTGTTCATGCGTGCTGTTTCCTGCATGAGCGAAACTGGTTGCTACCACGCGAACTTTTAAACTATAACCCAAATAATACTGTAATGAAACAGCAATTTCCTTTAGGCTGCCACCACCTTTTTTTACCCGGTCCGGTCGTCGTCCCGAAATTCCACACAAATACCCACACACCAAATACAATAAATAACTTTCCTTTATTCTTTACAGCAAAATAGATATAATTCATATAAGATACCAGGTTTACGTGAGTGCCGGTAAAATCATGGTTACGCTGTCTAACCTACGAATCACCAAGCCAGCAACTTGCGCCACCTACCATCACACAGTGTTGCACACCCCTAGGAGGCCTAAAGATCGAATAGTTTAGACTTTAATACACTTCATTATTAGGCATAAACACTCATCCCAATTCAATAACACCATCACAGCAAACAAACACTCTAAGAGGAGCAGTTACTGAGCTCAATAGGGAAAACATGCCCAATAAGCCACCCACACTCCTCACCAAACACTGGTAAAAAGAATAATCAAAACAACCCTCCCTAATTTCCCCATACACACACACACACACTCTCTCTCTCGCTCTCTCTCTCTCTCTCGTCCTGAATGCCCACCAAAAACACACAAAAAAAACCATACACCGCACACAAGGTCTTCCTGTACGTCCCTCGCCGGTCATTCCATCCAAAAGTCCGTCCAGCAAGCCCCAAACATCCTTTATTCTAGCTTGAATGTTCCCCAGCTTCTCTGCCCCTGGAATCTAACATTTCTCCTCTGCCATCTCAACAAAGTCCTCTCTCCTTAAAACTTTCCCAGGTGTCCATCATCCAACCAAATCAAGCCCCTGATAATTCTCTCCACCACTAAACACTGATCCCAAACCGCTGATCCCAATCCCGTGTCACCACAATACTTAGAATTAGAATTAAGCAATCGGAAAAATCTTGGCAAGCTTAATAGTCTCCTGATAATCTTCCAAACCACGACGGATTAATCGCCTCCGCCCCCGGAGTTTTTCCTTGCTAAACGTAAGTACAGTAAAACCGGTCTAAATCGACACTCGCGGGAC